TGCTACAGCAGGTGGGCGATACCGGCGAGGGGTCAGCCGGTACCATCAGGACCGAGCTGCTTCGATGGGCCAGTCACTGTGCCTCCCCTTCGGTCCCCTCCCCTTGTGAACATCAGCAGTCTCTGCTCAATGCCACTCGGGGGGACCAACGGCATATCTCTAGGTGGTGGGCGCCAAGCTTGCCCAGGAAGGTACATGAGGCCAATGGGGATTGAACCCAAGACCTCCTGAATGCCACTTGGGTGCCTTACCAACTGAGCTAGGCCGCTGGATTCTCCAGGGAATCCCGGCGTAGCAGCCGTAGCAGCCAGAACCGTGCTCACGAGAGAACATATGGGGGCTGCTCCTGACCTGCAGGTGGGCAATACGGGCCAGGGGACAGCCTGTAGCATGGGGGACCATATGCCAACAGGACCAATCCCTGTGCCTCCCCTCAGGTGGTGGTCCCCTCCCCTACGAACATCAGCAGACTCTGCTCAATGCCGATAGCGGGATCCAGTGGTCTATCTTCTCTAGGTGGCGGGCGCCAAGCATGCCCCAGGAAGGGGTACATTAGGAGGCCAATGGCGATAGAACCCACGACCTCCTGAATGTCACTTGCGAGCCTTACCAACTGAGCTAGTAGGCCGTTGGAACTCTCTTTTTTTTTTCTTTTTTCTTTTTTTTGGGTTGGAACTCTCTGACTGCTGGGGCATGGTCCCACTAGCAACCATATAGGATAGAAAAGAGTTTGTGTGGCAGTTGAGTGACCCAAATCCTGCCGTGCAGTACTGGTGATCCCACGGTCAGTATTTTACATGTATTACCCGAAAAAGTAAGGAGATCTTGGTTCCCCTCCTCTCCTTAACACTGGGCATGCCGGTGCAAAGGAAGCTTCCCGCCAAAATCTTTTCAATCCGTTGGGGGCATGGCCAACCCCAAAAGAGAGTGGGGTCGACCATAGGCCCACTGGATAGAAGATTTTCAGTATTTTGCTTGCTGTTGTGCAATTATCTCATTGGGTGGGGCCCTCCTTCAATCACGGAGTGTATAAGTATATGGAGGGAGTCAGGATCACTGCTGACAGAAGTCCAGTTTATTCCAGAAAATGTGGCAGTTACTTTGTTCACTGCTTTTGCAACCACCACCATCAGATCATTTGTGATCTGATTGCTGGGAAGCACTGCCGTGATTTCAGGTGGGAGGTCTCTGTTTCTTTTTTTTTTTTTGCCTTTCTCCAGTATTCTCACCCCAGAAATTCGTCATGAACCTGTCAATCCAGCGGCCTAGCTCAGTTGGTTAGGCACGCAAGTGGCATTCAGGAGGTTGTGGGTTCAAGCCCCATGGCTGCCTGCGGCGCACTTCGTGCCAACGGACTGTGATAGTAGCGGGGTCTATGTGAGTGCGGGTGCGAGTGGGTTGTGTGTGGTGTGTGGGAGAGTGTTGGCCATAGCCTCTGCTGCTACTCGATGAGGGGTGGGGGACGATAAGAAAGGGAGGCGCAGCTACTGGCAAAATGCTCGGTCTTCGCGTTAGCCGGACCCCCACCGGCGGCCCCACCCCCCGAGGGGCAACATGAATTACCTCGTTTGCGAGTCCCTCTGCTTGCAGGGGTCCCCTCTATATAGTCTTAGGTAGGTAGGTAGTGTGAGGTGAATTCGAGAGAAGAAACAAAAAGAAAAGTAATGAACCCGTCAGGCCGCTGCCACTCAGTGTCACACTGGATCGGCCACACTCCTACCCGACTGCTAATGGGACCACACCCCTGCTGTCCGTGAACTGTCCACAATTTTTTTATTTTTATTTTATTTTTTAAACAGCTGTCCACAAATTCGTACAGCGGACAGTGGTGGAGCGAGGCCATAATTTACCCAGCGCCTGTGGCTGAATGGTACCCACACGCGGAAGGATCATTGGAAAAAAAAAAAGAATGGTACCCACACGCAACTGTTGATAACAGGTGATGCGCTGGAGTAGGAGAGACAAGGTTCAGGTCCACCTACTGCTAGAAAAAGAAAAAAAAAGGCAGGGGGGGGGGGTTTTCTTTGTTTGCCGGTCCGAAAGGGTCAATG